CATGCAAAGAGTGGGCGTGCTTGCCGTGTACCGACGCAACAACCTGGCAGGCACAGTTTGTATGTGACGTCTGCCGAGACTGATAGTCCGCTCATCCGCTGTGATCCGATATGATCCGCCGTGTCGCGGGTATTGCATTGGCTGTGCTGATTTAACGTGATTAGTACGATGTGTAGGAAGCTTTGTGACCGTTTACGTTGTTAGATGGTGCCTAGGATAGGTACCGATATTGCTAGCCATGTGATCCGCTGTGTTGCCATCAACGCATTGGCTGCGCAGATTCAACGTGAGTAGCACGATGTTCAGGAAGTTTTGTGACAGTCGCTTTGCCCGTTTGGTGCTTAGACTGCCGAGACTGTAAGTCCTACGATCCGCTGTGCTACAATTATCGCATTGGCTGTGCTGATAGGCGATTATGCGATGTGTAGGAAGTTTTCGGCCGTTGTCGTTGCCTAGTATGTGTCTAGACTGCCAAGGTTGATAGTCACATGATCCGCTGTGCCGCAAGTAGCGCATTGGCTGTGATTATTTAACGTGGTTATTACGACTGCAGGTTGTGTGGCGGTGTCGTCTGGTTGTTGTGTAGAGTACCGGCATTACTGCTAGCCGGATCTTATGTTAGAAATACCTTCCCGTTGTTGGGGCTCTTCTGCCAAAAACGGAATGGTTATTTGGAGGTGGAAAATTCACGTTCTAAAATGTTGTGTCTCAGTTTTAACACGAGATAGATGAATCTGATATGCTACCACTTTCAGCGGAGGGAAACGTTGCCACGACCATTGACAAGCTCCTGAACGCAAGTAGATGGCAATGCAGTGCACTCATTTTATCATTTGCAATTCAATTATAGAACATGTAGCCAAGTAGAAATGCTGTCCCAATGCTCCTTAGTATGTCCCAATTCATACTCACGTCTGCCCCGATTCTCCTGCGTGCGTCCCGATTCTCCTGTAAATGAAGGTCTTTGTTTCTGCTCCACGCGAGTCGTATCCTACCAGAAAGTGAGACTTACTTATTAGTATGATGTAAATAAATACCCAATTCATTTATTAGTATGATGCAATGTTACCTAGCTTTCATACTTTTGCTGCAATGACTCATCAAAGTTGAAGTTGCAAAAGTGTCCCAATTCTCCCGCCTCTCCCCTGCTCAAGTAAACTCAGTATGAACGAAGAGTTCTTACCTTTTGACCGGCTCCATCAGCAACACTCGACTTAACATGGTATCGCAGTTTGCATTTTCTTGGTCCCTTTACCTGTGAAACAGTTATGAAAAATCTTAAAATTATCATTCTGAGCACCCATCATTAATGATCTACTTGTACTCAGACTCCACAAGGTTGGAGATGCAAACACACTGTTGAGGTGGGCAAATTGGGTTGGGGGGGGGGGAGGGGCAGTGGCCAGCCCGAAAATACAAATGAACACCCGTGGGCTCCACCTGCCCACGGCCTGGGGCAGCCGATTCTGGAACCGACAATCGATCTCGTCGCGTCGAGTCGTGTAGAACTGCGACTTGACTGGGGTCTTGAAAACAGCAAGTTGCGTGAAAGATAAAGGCATACAATTATGTCATCATGTTCAACAATTTCAGTGTTTAAATGACTGTACCTTTTCGAACCTGTTAACAACAGCGAAGGGAAGAATCCTTTTGAACACATTCTTGGCAACATAATGGTAATTAAAACTGTACATAATGTTTCGCAGATAAAAGCATCGCTAATCAGCCCTAATATAATCACAAATAGAATATGGGATAGCCCATATTATATAATTTATCAAATATGATATGGGCTATCCTGTGTCGTTACTAATTAACACTGATATCACCCCCACTACCGACCTTGAAATAACACTAACGAAACAATGTTTTCAAGCGCAGCGGTAGATGAACAGACACCACAGTAATGACTGCTTCCCATTACCGACCACGAACCAGCTGCAGCTGGGAGCCAAGGCTGGGGCCGACACAGCTGTGTGCGTTCAGTTGGCGGTGACAGACGGTAGACTGCAACTAGTCAGCGCTTCAGAAATTTAGTGAGTGGGGTCGGGTATCGCTGTCGCAAATGTGTCACAATTTGGGTGCGCTAGTACGACAAACTCGAGTTAAGATATGAGATCAGCATAAACGTTGGCAAATCAGTAATGACCAGGATATTACAAGTTTTAAGTTTTCCAGTAGACATCAGTGTGTGAGCTGAAGACTGTGGTTGGCCGCGTCGCGAGTGTGGAGGGAAAGCAATGCAAATTTCGGAGATCGGCCCACGCTTCGTCTCGCGGTAACCGGGTTAAAGGTCAGCTGACCGCGCTGTTGCAGACGTTAAATGGCCCCTGGCTGCGTGCCCTACACTCGGGCGCGCAGTCAGCCGCCTGAACCCCGATCACGAACAGAGACGATGTTTGATAGATTGATCTAAGCTCTTCTCGTCTCGGGCCCAATCACATGTTGCGTCAACGCCAACACACCAGATGAGGACGATCGTCCAGACAATCATCTCATCCGTACTCTGGCATCTTGCCGCAATCATTCTGTAAAACTTCAGTCATATTTGTTCGCAAGTGCAGCTGTGTTTTATCATCTGTTTGCGCATCATTGTGGTCATTGTCTGATCCATCGATGCTAGCCCATCGATTCGATGATGGGGTCCGTGAGCAGGCTGTTCCCCGGCCATCTTGGTCTGACATGCCGCTCTTTTGAGCAGTGCATTGGTTTGGCAGCTAAGCTAGCGCATCGGCTGTCGAGTTCAATATTTGACACAGGATGATGCGGAGACTGAGACCGCAGGCACCCGCGGAAAGCGACGATGCCTGGCTGTATCTGCCGCGCGCAACACGGCCGGACTGTGGTGAAGGGACTGAAGCCCGCCGGCGGAGACTGAGACTGCAGGCACTCGCGGAAAGGGAAGATGCCTGGCTGCATCTGCTGCTCACAACACGGCCGGACTGCGGTAAAGGGACTGAAGCCCGCCGGCGGAGACTGAGACCGCAGGCACCCGCGGAAACGGACGATGCCAGGCTGCATCTGCTGCCCACAACACGGCCGGACTGCGGTGAAGGGACTGAAGCCCGCCGGCGGAGACTGAGACCGCAGGCACTCGCGGAAAGGGACGATGCCTGGCTGCATCTGCTGCTCACAACACGGCCGGACTGCGGTAAAGGGACTGAAGCCCGCCGGCGGAGACTGAGACCGCAGGCACCCGCGGAAAGGGACGATGCCTGGCTGCATCTGCTGCTCACAACACGGCCGGACTGTGGTGAAGGGACTGAAGCCCGCCGGCGGAGACTGAGACCGCAGGCACTCGCGGAAAGGGACGATACCTGGCTGCATCTGCTGCTTACAGCACGGCCGGACTGCGGTGAAGCGACTGAAGCCCGTCGGCGACTCCGGCAGCCTGAATAACGCTCCGCCACCTAGATGCCCCTCTTGGTCACATGATCCCATCCCGTTCGTCAGACTGAGAAACGTGATCGCGTGACGATGCAGGCGTGGTTACCTAGGACGCGGATGGTGAAGCGTGCACTTTGACGCCATTGGCACGTGGCCGCAGGTATAAAATGCAAGGAAGTGCGATAACGTCGCGCTGTGTATCGCACACGGTGCTCATCATACCGCCGATCAAAGAGCTTGCCTGCCCGCAGCCCGGCCCGCCAAGCAGCAACAGATCCCTCAGCTTTATCAAACACGCTGCCCGAAAATCCTGCAGCTCCCGCGCTGAAACGTGACAGTTTCATTGGTCCCTCGGGTAACACCACCGCCGGCGACCGTTACAGAAGAAAATCAATACGGCGCGGCTAGTGCGAGAGCGGCGCATCGCTCCCCTCACCAGCGGGCCGTCGAGCCGCAGGGTTCCGCCTGCCGGACCCCTCCCGGGGGGCGAGGGTGACCGGCACTGAGGACGCCATCTGTCGACTGACTCGGGCCGGCGCCGGCGCCCGCGTCCGCCGCCCCCGCCGCCGTGGGCGCCGGGCGGACCGCAGCGCATCCGGGCTACATTCACCCCGCTGGTGGGGAGGGGCGACGGACGTTCTGCTGAGCAACGACTCCCCGCGGCCAGACATAGCTCGCCGCCGGTTTGCCATGTTGTACAGCCAAGTACTAGGGCCGCTAGCAACCACGCGCGCTTATAGGACCAGTCATGAGCTGGAGCTGCTGGGTGCTGCTGGGCCACTGTTCACGCATCCTGAACCACCGCCACGCCCGCTGAGGCATATAGTGCACGCTAAAAGCGTGTGATTCCCCCTTACTCTGTCAAACGAACGCCTCATCACATAAATCCCTGAACGACCCGCAGTCGTGTACTCGCATGGATCAGTGACGATCTGAGCATTTCTCGCGTGTCTGCCGGCCAGTCCAGTGAGGGACCGCCTCGGCCAGGCTCTGCGGCTGCAGGGAGCACAGCCAGACTGCCCATTACCACGGAAGCGCCGACCAGTCTGACCACGGAGCCCAGTCACTCCAGTCTGACCACGGAGCCCAGTCACTCCAGTCTGACCACGGAGCCCAGTCACTCCAGTCTGACCACGGAGCCCAGTCACTCCAGTCTGACCACGGAGCCCAGTCACTCCAGTCTGACCACGGAGACCATGGAGTTCAGCCACTCCAGTCTGACCATGGAGTTCAGCCACTCCAGTCTGACCACGGAGCCCAGCCACTCCAGTCTGACGACGGAGCCCTGCCACCTCAGCAAACGAGCCACTACAACATGTCGGCGAGTGTATTGAGATTCTCCGGGCGCGGTGGGGTTACGAATACAAAACGTCGCTCGAGGCGCGGCCGTCTCGGTCGCGTGTCTGGGTCACGCGCCGCCGGTCCGGCCGGCCGCGCTGCGCGCGACAAATTCCGATTACAGCTGAATAACATCGCGACACGAACCAGAAACAGACGTCAGGGGGGGGGGGGGGGGGGGGGCGGCGGCGCCCCAGTCGGCGCTGACTAGCTCCCGCTGACTGGGGAAGCGCGAGCGCGTACTTGGCGAGTACAGTCGGCCCGGGGCGGCGCCTCTACGGGGTCCGCTTGTAGACACGCGTGGCGGTGACGTCGTCCACGGTGCACGTCTGAAACGGGGAGGCGTGACGTCAGAGAGGGAGCGAGCGATAGGGGGACAGCGGTTATTGGTCACAGTCAAGGAGACGTCGCTCTCGCCGCCAGCTACGTAGCATGGGACGACAGCAATGCCACGCTGTCGTCGGACATCGCGGGACAAGCATCCATGAGCGGTCGGGCGCTGATGGCTGTCGAGCACACATACACAGAAACGGGGTCGGATTACCACCGTGCAAGGATCGCTAGTTCAGAGCTGAGACCATGCCAAAGCATGGAGACCACAAAGGATCGCCAATTCAGAGCTGAGACCATGCCGAAGCATGGAGACCACAATACGCCCGCACGTGCCGAGCTTTTCCGTTAGCCACTGCGAGCCGCCATCAACACTGCCATGAACGTCATTGCATGACATTCATTGTGCTTTTTTCCCCGCACATGAAGCTCAGACTATAAAACACTTGCAAGATAACGGTGCAACACATCTACGTGTGCTGAGCTTCCCCGTTGGCCACAACGCAATATGAACACTGCTGTACGCTGACATATCACTGCATAATATGCCTAGCGCTATTTGTGCCCAGCACGGAACACTCAGATCTTAGCAAAATTGCAACATATCGGCCATCGGTTAACCACTTAACAGCCCGCGAGTCCCGATAATGCGATAAAGTACATATTGGCTGCATGCAGAATACATTAACGCCGTCGTCCGTTGCCAGGGCGACGGGTTGCTAAGCCGCTTTTAGCATCCCAGAATGCAAACATTCGCGAGAAGACGCGGAATTAGATCGTGTGTCGACGGCAGCCTACGTCAGGCTGATCCATTCGAGTTCGACGGTCCAGCCAGCCAGGAAGCCGCCCACAGGCGTGTTCGGACTCAGGGGCGTCTCCCCGGTCACCGCCCTGTCCCGAGCGCCGCCGGCCTGGGCCACGTGCCGCCGAGACGCGCCGCGCCGGCCGGGCCCGGACGCCGCCCGCTCCAGCCCCATGACGACCGATCACGATCGGTAGCGTCCGGCGCCGGACGTGACGTCACGGCCGCGTGAGGGTGGCGTGAGAGCGCGGTCGGCGGCAGCAGCACCGCCTGACGGAGGCGGCCCACGACCGTCACGGCCGGCGCCCGGCGCATCGGACGCCGCTGTCACCAATCAGAGGGGGCAGCCAGCGGCACCGCCAGCCGGCGCCGCCCCGCCCGGCAGGGTTGGGGGGGGGGGGGGGGAGGGGCGCCACGTGGCCGCAGCGCCAGCCGGCTCCGCCGCCCCACCCGCGGTTTTAGAACTCGCAGACGGCGCCGGAGGGCCCGGGCTGGCTGGGGCGGATTGGGCCAGCGCAAGGAAACGCAACACAGCATCGTTGCAGGACGTTCGCCATCGCGAGCCAGACGCTATGCTACGTTTACCCAACTTCCGGCATCAACCGATTGTACTGTGACTGCAGTTGCCCACACGAGGCCCGCGGTGTGGCGGTCTTCCATCGGCCGTCACGCCTCACCGCCTCAGTTCACAGACGTCACTGGTCACACCATCTTACTCAAAACTCCCAACACTTACAAGGAACGGATCAGGTAAAACGCGGAAAATGGGCGAGGTCGTTGCTCTAACAATCCCAGCAGTTCCCGGCTCCCTCACAGACGCTGGACCAACTGGACGCGTTCGCACATGACAGCCACCTCAAAACGAATTAGCATGACGGAAAGCCAAAATCCAGCTACAGTAATATGTTAAAGAAGCATCAGGCATGGAGTCTGATTCGCGTCACATCAAGCCTTCAGGTGACGTATGTCGGCACGTGCGAGGCAGGGCGAAACGGCGTCCGATTCGCCGAACGGCAGCCTGCACAGCTGTGGAGGCGCGGCTTAGTTTTATCGCACTATATCGGTGGCGTCGCACATGCCGGTTTGTTTGCATATGTTATACTCTGATCGGGCTGAACACCAGCTTGGGAAATAAAGCAATCCCCACTCACTTTCGTCTAAAAATATAGAGCCATGAACATTTAGAAAGCGTAGTACAATTCGCAGCTAAAAAGAACATTTTGGCACCGAAGCGCTGTGAGGTGCAAGTCTTGCTTGCAACAAAACATGTACATATAAGTGAGTTTCAAATGTCATAGCTGAAAAACGCTTTCAAAGGGAGTATTTCACATTTGCATCGGGCTTTGAACTGAAAGAGCCATCTTGAAGACAATTCGGTGCAGTTCACAACCCTGCCCTCCGTAAGATGTGAACCCCTCTAGCTTCTAAGCTACGCGTTCGCGATGTGCGAACTATTTCAGGAGTATTTCAAGGTCAGCGAGGCATCCATAACGCCATAATAACGCCGTTCGAATCCTTCCATTCCATTACACATGCGACCATCAAGGGCAGGAAAGATACAATTGTGGAGTCGTTCATAACTGGCGTTCGTGAGCACAATTTCCGGACATAACGACCATCAATTAGCTCTCAGTCATGATAACGCGAGGTACTATGACGTAGCCAAACAATGACGCACTGAGGAACATATTTACTAAACAGACAAATTGTGTGGTCCAGAAGTGTTTTCCACATAAAAGTACACCAATATTTATAAGTGAGCCTATTTCATCAAATCTGATACTTGCTTCAATGTCTTTAATTGTGAAACATTTCTTATAACGACCTTTGCATCCCACTTTTCCCTTACCCATGCACCAGCCTTGCAAACAATCGGTTTTCAGACAAACCCTGGTGAAATAAACCACGGCAAACCACGTTAGCGGTCGACTGCCGGACGATCCGCAAGAGCGATGCTGCGATCGCAGGGGAAGGTTGAAGTAGACCTCCGTAAGAACCCAGTTCACCGCCAGAGCACACAGACGAATAGGGTCACTAGCAGCCAGAAGGTGCCTTTTGTAGCGAGACGAGCAAGGTGCCAGCCTTGAGTGCTATCGTCGTGTAGATGATACCAAAACCTAGCCCAATGACGACAGCCATCTTTCGGAACCCAAGTAAATAGGTCGCCAATGTACTCGCATGCTTATCATTATGAAACCTTTGGAAGGATATTGGCTATGATAACATGGGTTCGTGCATGCTAAATCGTAATGGTCTCAGTGTCTCAGTGTCTAAATGTGTCAGTCTCAGTGTCTAAATGTGTCTCAGTTTATCCGGCGATGACCTTTCCCCGCCGGTTAATGACGTCATAAGGTGCTGGTCTTCAGTCGTTGAGGCTCCGGGTCGGCGATATCGTTACGCCGTTTCCAGCCGTGCTCTTCAGTTTTTCACAGGTTCCACCTTTCACGTTCCCGTGTTACCCGAATGGGACAGTCTAAATTTGTGTGACATAGTACTGTTACAAGCAAACCGAGTCTGATCAAACAGCTTGCATGACCCTGAGATGATAACAAATTATGAGCTGTTCTGGGCAGTAGCAGATCCAAGGGATAGCAGCGACACTGTGCCCCCAGCCCCCCCCCCCCCCCCCCCAAGGCGAAAACGAAATACTTCCTTAGTTTACCGACACTTGTATGGAAAAGTCTGGTTCACTGCCCTGAATAGATCCTGGAACCGCCGCTGGTGCTACTCGTTAATGAAAACCGCTTGATGGCACGACCAGCGGTTGCAACAGCCCGGAATACGAAGAGAAGCATGTCAGCGGCGTCAACAGCCGACCGGGCCGCGCCGCTGAAGCTACAATATCAGCGATCGACTGACGTGAACACGCGCCCGGCCCGCCGCCTCGCTCGCAATCAAGCACGTGGAGAAGTTGGCATGCAGAGAAGTTGGTGTGCTATGTCACGTGAAAAACAATGCACGCACCCACATTCACGCTCTCGGCACGTGCCATTTGGACTTCAGACATAATGGCTCGCCACTGAAACGACTCGAGTTCTTTACTGCGAGCACGGAATGGAGTCAATCGTTGTCGGCCGTTCTGACAGAGTACGAAATCACAATTCGATGGTCTGGCACAAGTTCCCATGAAATGTGAAACGCCACTGCCACGTTGCCGCGCGCGGGGTTTGGACGGAGTCTTCGGCGAAAGTTCGGTTGCCAAACAGAATAATCGACTTACAAAAGTGGAGTCTGGAGTCCCGCTGGGTGAGCGCGGCCTCGGAAAGTCATAACCTAAAATTAGGGGAACAGCGCAACACTGTTCTGAAATGTGCACGAGGCCCAAGCTGCGGCCGGTAGCACGCAGGCACGGACGGAAATAAACATGATCAGGCCCAAGCTGCGGCCGGTAGCACGCAGGCACGGACGGAAATAAACATGATCAGGCCCAAGCTGCGGCCGGTAGCACGCAGGCACGGACGGAAATAAACATGATCAGGCCCAAGCTGCGGCCGGTAGCACGCAGGCACGGACGGAAATAAACATGATCAGGCCCAAGCTGCGGCCGGTAGCACGCAGGCACGGACGAAAATAAACATAATCAGGCCCAAGCTGCGGCCGGTAGCACGCAGGCACGGACGGAAATAAACATGATCAGGCCCAAGCTGCGGCCGGTAGCACGCAAGCACGGACGGAAATAGACATAATCAGGCCCAAGCTGCGGCCGGTAGTACACAGGCACGGACGGAAATAAACATGATCAGGCCCAAGCTGCGGCCGGTAGCACGCAGGCACGGACGGAAATAAACATAATCAGGCCCAAGCTGCGGCCGGTAGCACGCAGGCACGGACGGAAATAAACATAATCAGGCCCAAGCTGCGGCCGGTAGCACGCAGGCACGGACGGAAATAAACATGATCAGGCCCAAGCTGCGGCCGGTAGCACGCAAGCACGGACGGAAATAGACATAATCAGGCCCAAGCTGCGGCCGGTAGCACGCAGGCACGGACGGAAATAAACATAATCAGGCCCAAGCTGCGGCCGGTAGCACGCAGGCACGGACGGAAATAAACATAATCAGGCATAAGGAATAAGAAAGCTTAAAAACTACACCTTTAAAACTGCGCAGAACTGCGCTTGAAGCAGACAACAGACCAACAGAACTGCACTTGCGCCCACATTCGGGACGCTTCACGCTCATATCACATCGAGCCAACCCAGGACAGCCATCCCAGTTGTAGGAGGGATATCCTGAATCCGTAGGGCTTAGCCTGCTTTCATCACAGGCCTCTTCACCCAAACCACTTGATTTCGCCACGTGAAAGCGATTCAAGGATTGGGACTTACGAAAAAAGCGGACAGACAGAAGGCTGCAGTATCTTACGACTCCTGACATTTTTTTTTTCTCCCTCAGAGGCTTCTTTCTTTGCGCTGTTATAATCTTGTGAAGCTTGGGTTTTTCCATGGAGCCACTCGGACGGATAGTGGCACTTTCAAACGTGGCAGCATGTTAAGTGACGCACCCAGGCCGCAGCCGGTAGAGAGCATAACGTGTCATTCACCGGCGATAAAAGCGCAACAAGATCATCCTAGTGCGGCATAAAGTATCTTCCCCTGACATTTCAGCGGTTGAAAAGCCTTCCGTCCAGCTTTGTACATTCCTTCAGGGCGAACAGTAGCTGACAGTTGCATAGTCCACAACAAATATGACCACGAAATCAATGCACTTCACCCTCAATCCAGATCAAGTGATTCATCTTTAAGATCACGTGGCTAATCGAGACTACTCCAACCCCATTCGATGAGTGCTCTGCTTAAATGCTCCAGCCGGCCCCGACTCGAGGCACTACTCAACGCCACCCTAGCCCTTTGATCAAACCCGCCGCGTCCCACGCAATTCTGATCACGTTACGCCAGACAGTAGTGCTGCTGCGTCACAAGTGTCCGTCAACACCTGCCCCGATCGGAGCAGAGGCCGCTCCGCCAGCTGTGTACTGCTAAGCAACAATGTGGGTCCGCGCCCGTAGCGGCCATTCACCCCCACCTTACGATGCTTTTTCACCTTCGGCCTACGAGGGGGGGGAGGGAGCCCCGGGGGGCCGTACCATTTTAAGTACTACTCAGGCTAAAATCACAGGAAAAATGACATTGGAAGGCTCTCGTCAACTGTCTTGGACAGGATTGGCTGAGCAATGGTGCATGTGACCTTCGATAGACCAAATCAGGTCACAGGGGCCAAATTAGCGTTTTACGTGCCCTTCCTGTTATCTCAAGCACTTGTCATCAGGAATTGCGAAAGGCACCATTGAAAAGCTCCAACTAGCTCATCAGACGGGCGCCGGTGGAATCAACAGGTGAGACCAGTGATCTGTTATGCCAGGTCAAAGGTCATCCGTGTCAAGGTTATCAAAGCGTGCATAGGCTCGCCCGGATGGGTCAAGAACTGAACAAGCCGCGTCGGTGGGGAAAACAGCGTTCCAAAAACCTTACAAAACCGCATTAAAGTTTCAAACGCACAATGCAAAAGAGATCAAAGATCATTAAACCGACAAGTTTAAAGCTTCAAAACTGCATAACATGGTGCTAACTCAGCCAACACAAACTTCATGCTAAAAAACATCCAGAAGTTACTTCGGAAAAACCTTAGCAGGGCCCCTAACGTATAAAGATATTTCAAATGCATTTTGTGTGCCCCCCCCCCCCCTTGTAGTGCAGAGATTCACAGGAACGAGCCCACTGAGGCTCACTGGTGGGAAGCACGCTGAACAAGGAACCCCCGGTAGCAGCAATATCACTTACTTTAATCAGCTGAGGAGGCTTAAGCGACGAAGTTGATCCAACCTGTCCCCAAAACCTGATTTCTTACCGGATTTCAGCCACATTAATTTACATCCCAGATGTTAAGACAAAGAAGAAGACGTAACAACATATACCTCGTCGATTCCGAAATGGGGCGCATCGCCGCGGGGGGCATATATATATATATATATATATATATATATCTATATATATATATATATATATATATATATATATATATATATATATTATATATACCAGGGTACTTAGTGTACCAATAGTTGAGCCATTTTATGTATTTCCTCCACCCTGTATTTTCTTTTTGCTCATATGCATTGAGGGGATCAAAGGCTAAGGGCTTAAGTCAGATTTGGAGGGGCTCACCCCACCCCCTCCCTCCCCCGCTTCTCCCAAAGAACAAAGCACCACCCGACGTCTCTGCTCCAAAGACATACCTTTGTCGGAAGAAGGCCAACACTGTCGATCTTTAATGAGCCAAGTGCGAGTCGCACTCCCAGGTCCGGGAAGTTCCCAACAACACATTCCCTTCCATGCTAATGATGACAATTGTAAGCACCAAACGTACATCAGTCAGCTGAAGGGGCAGCAACGAAAGGTTGCATTACCACCACCGATACCAAAAACCATAATAAGGCGAACACTTACATCTACCCATGGGTTGTGCCCATCACAGTTTGTCCACATACAAAGTTATCAATTTTCCCTTATTAGTGGTCTTATAGCTTCCCCAGAAACGTGATGGGGTTTAAAGCATTATACAACTAGTCCAGACTGTTGCATCGCGCGCACGGCCACGCCTCTGAACTGACAGTCGGGCAGCTGTCCACGGCGCGGGCGGCGGTGACTGTTGACAGTGTGGAGCACTGTTGAATCAGCGTGTGACGGGTTGCGATTCAGAGCAGCCACAGCCGGCCGGCCGAGCGCCCGTCCACGTCCCCGGCCCCGACGCCGACGTCGACCTCCTCCCCGTCCCTGTCCCCGACCTCCTCCCCATCCATCCCCGTCCCCGACCTCCTCCCCGTGCCTGGCCTCCTCCCCTTCCACGTCCCGGTCTCGTCCCCATCGCCATCCCTGTCCCCCTCCCCGTCCCCGTCCCCGTCCCCGTTCCCGTTTCCGTTTCCGTCCCCGTCCCCGACCTCCTCCCCGTCCCCGTTCCCGACCTCCTCCCCGTTCCCGTCCCCGTCCACCGACCTCCTTCCCGTCCACGTCCCGGTCTCATCCCCATCGCCATCCCCGTCCCCGTCCCCGTCCCCCCGTCCCGACCTCCTCCCTGTCCCCGTTTCTGCGCCTCACCAGCGTCATGGTGTCGCCATCGAAGGTGCGCTTGAGGACTGAGTCCTTCTCCTCTTTTCCTTGTTGCCCTTTTGCTCGTGCACCAGGGTGTTGCCGTCCATTGTCATAGTGGCCTGCCGGCGGGGGGGGGGGGGAGGTCAAGACGCCGGAGCTGCAGCAGGACAGCCAGCTGGAGGCACCGGCCGCGGCCACTCAGGCCCACCGTGTCCCGGTGGAGCGGACCGACGCTGGATCGGCGTCACAGGCGGCAGGGGGCGAGGCCGGCGGGCTGCGACAGCGCGGGCGGCCGCGGATGCTACCGGGCCGGCGTCGGTAGCCTGGCGCCCGGTCCGGCCGCCGACACAGCGGCGCTCCACCGCCGATCGTCTACAGGCGACGCACGCGGCCGCGGCGCGACGATGGTCACGGCTTCCCGCCGGTCCTGAGACGGCGGCGGGGCGGGGCTGCCGCCACCCTCCGGGTGAGCCGGGGACGGGTCATGTGTCACCGCCTCAGGCAGACCCCGGCCGGCGACGGCGCCGGATGGACGGCGGCTAACGACCTGCACGCTCACTGACACACACAGTAATTAGCTTGCGACACTCTCAGGGCGAGCAGAGGACGAGCAGAGCGTCCAGCCAGCGTTGGCGGCGCCTGATTGCCTCTCTGGGGGCGCGTCGCTCTACCGCCCCCTGCTCAGGCCGCGACACAGCGCAGATGGTCTGTCCGAGCCCGCCCGCAGCCCGACTCCGCTGCGGGCTCCGGCAACGGAGGCTGTCCTACTCAACACGCCCCCGCGCGCGGATCATGGCAGGCTTCCGTGACACCGGGCAGACGTTACCGCCGGCACCGGTCACCAGTCAGTCACCAGTGATGCCGGCATCGGTCACCAGTCAGTCACCAGTGATGCCGGCACCGGTCACCAGTCAGTCACCAGTGATGCCGGCACCGGTCAGTCCTCACCCGGCGTCACTGAGGATGCCAGCCGAGCGAACGGCCGGGCGCGGCCTCCCTCTCGCCGGCCCCGCATGCCGGGCGTGACTGGCGGTGAACGGGCCGAACCGTCGGCTGACGGCAGCGAGCTGGATCACTGACGACGCGACCGGGCCTGGTGATTCCGGTGCACTGCCAGCGGCGTCGGCAGGCGCCGCCACTGACCTGCACCTTCCTGCCGTCAGCCGTCTCCTCCTCGAACGGCACATCCAGCTTGAACTTGATGACGGTGGTCTTGAACGTAGTGACGGTCTTGAGCTCGTACTCGCCGTCCGCTTCCGTGATCTCCACCGTCGGCACAAGCGTGTTGCCCATCTTGCGCATCATGAAGCCCACGCCTGCCGGCACAGACCCAATGTGAGGCGCTGCCCTAAGACTGGAGATGTCGAAAGCGCCAGCACTTCCAAACCGACATCAGTGGCCATGAGAGACATATGCTAGACAATCAGGGCTGTTCAACTGGTGAGGTGTCGTTTGACGTGCACGGGCTGCCGCGCTGGACACCTTGTGGTGAGGTGTCGTTTGACGTGCACGAGCTGCCGCGCTGGACACCGAGTGGTAAGGTGTCGTTTGACGTGCACGGGCTGCCGCGCTGGACACCGTGCGGCCCGCGCATGTGGATGGAATCGCCGCACGCCGTGGCAACTCGACATGCCTTTAGTGCCGTGCGCCAAATCCGAACGGCGCCCGGCGAGCCGTGCCGCCTCCGTATCCATACACGCCGCACGTGTGACGGGTGTTCCCCCGCCCAGTGACCACACAGCGGAGCGCAACGCACAGCCGCGGAAACCGAACACAGGAAACAGTTCGGTGATTACTAGTGACGTCTGACTTGGCGTGATATAACATACCCGCCAATGGCCTCTACTTTCTCTGGCCGTTGTCAGCATTTCCGAGATATGGCATTAGTGGCGCTAGGGTCCGCACCAGCCACTCAATCAGCTCATAGTTCGAGACAGACATGCACACCACTCCGCCTGCTACTGGAGCCGGAGTGAATCGCAAGCCGTAGCTGAACCACCCGCTAGCGGTAACGACAGGCTCCTGGCGAACCTGCTGGGGGGGGGGGGGGGGGGGGGGGAAGGTAGAAGGGGTAGGAGAAGGTACGTAATGCGCACTAAGCGGCTGTCTACACTACGGGCATGTGTTACTTCAAGAACACTGATACAATGCGTTGTGTGACGCCAAATCATGACTGCATTTCGATGCCACCATCCCCTCAAAGGTTACTGATTATATCAACAAAATGTCTTCATTATCGATGGGGACATAAACGCTGGCTACTAATGCGGCGGAAGCGAATGAGGAGTCAACGCGTTAGCGCTCGCTCCACAAAACCCCATTTCCGTGATCCTCAGGGGCGAATAACGCGAATGTCAACGAGTTGCTCGGTGTCGCGTCCCTTCCTACTCTGATCCACTACCCCCGCTGGTGCCTGGCGGGCGGACCTCGTCCCCTACGTGACCGGCGCGGTGTCGCGCCCGCCCCCAACCAACAGTCATCCGAAACTGCGTACGTGAACCAACAAATGTAGGGATACCTGTCCATTGTTTCCAAGAATTCCCTCTCACATTGGCCGCCGACGACAACCAATGGTTAGCACTGCTTGGTTTTTGAATGTCAGTGTTGAAGAGGACAAGGTAAGGCTGGTGAAGTTGAGCGTCACTGCGATGTATTGTGCGCCCCCAGTTAACGCGTCAAGAAACACATCTGCAGCAGTTTCATCTTCTGATTCTCGTGTAAGTTGCTCACATCCCACATCAGCTGACACTGACCCACTTTGTCGTAATTCACAAAATATTCAAAAGTAATGTCAGCAGCTATCTTAGTCACGGCAGATCTCCCATAAGACCTGAGAGTGAGTTCTCTAAGACCAGGGCACAGGATCGTACTCAGGTCCAGGGCTCGATCCCCCTTCCATTTTGCACCTGAGCCATCAGCCTAAGAACATCAAGCTTGTGGAGAACTCCCCCCCCCCAAAAAAAAACAAAACACAATCAAAACACTAATGTGAAAGAAGGCCATATTACCTATAACGACGATTTCCCAATGTCTGCATCCCTTCGCCTAAATACAACCCTCAAACGAAGACGCTTCAGCTGAAGGTAAAAATTGAAATATGTAACGCTTTAGCCGTCTCCAAATGTCCGACATGGCCGGCCGACCTGTCTGTATTCGCGAGCACACGGGGATGGCCGACATGTTGAACTCCCCATCCGATGTTGCGAAGCCACACCGACGTATCGGACACCTCAGTGGTCATTTCCCAACATAACTCTGGCAAACTACATAGGCCGTGCAAACGCTACGATCCTCTGACGTTGAATACGCCCTGGGCCCGGCAGTCCATATCACGTGCTGAGGCTACACACGGGGCCGGCGATTGGTTAAGACACGCTGATGTTAGGTGTGACTGGGTATTCCCGAGGTACTACGATATACCACAGCAGCGCCACATGGCAGCACTGACAGGACCCTGCACCAAGTCGCTAAACGTTGACCGTTGAAAAGCGTCCGAATCAGTACATGATCGGGATCTTTAGAACCTCAGTACAACGCACTAGTCAATCGCTGTAGACTGGTGGCCAGCCCTACCGCGCTGGACCCCAGCCCACACAGCTGGCCCCCACTGCGAGTCAATCGCTGTAGACTGGTGGCCGGCCCTACCGCGCTGGACCCCAGCTCATACAGTTGGCCTCCACTGCCAGTCAACGTACGCTGTGCACACCAGATTCAACTGGCACACCAGATTGCACACCAGTGCACAGCAGGTTCTCCATTCAACAATGTGTCTTGTTTGTATGACTCCCGCTGTGTGCAAGGTACACGCCAAGTAGGGCTTTCTGTTCGCACCCTGCAAACACCATCTATATAGCATCATTTTAATTCAACGGATAATCTCATCTCCGGTATGTTTGCTAGACTGATAATGAGGAACCTGCTTCTTGTCACACCAGAAAACTTCGGTAACACAGCCCGATGGTGACAAAAATAAACTGTGTCGATTTCGAGCCTGATCACAGTTCAACCCACAATCACACTGACCCACAACAACAGGAACCAAATCGACCAGCTGATCAAATTTGCAAAGCTCCTGATAACTCAATATAGATGCATAATGCATATGCTGTACATACTGTGCTTTACGCGCGCACTAGTTTGGAGCGAACTACTAAGGTGTTCCGCACCAGTTATGATCCGTCTGGACACCCACAATTCGTGTGTACGGATGTGTGAGCACACATGTCTGGCTACTGGCTACATTTTTCGCATAATTTTACCAAATACTTCACACTGGGCATCACCACAGTAGTGCCACGTTCTCATAATACTTAATATCGGTTCAATAAGCAGCAGATTCTGGGTGCACCAGACTTGCTTCGAGTAACACAAAATTAGTGCAGCTGATTAGATTCTGGTTTGCCGTGTTTTCCCCGACAAGGATTGCGGGGTGGTTTGCAGGTTGCATACCAATATGGTAGTTGAGGCCATGAGAAAATGAAGGTTCACAAGCGCCGCGAATAATCGTTGAGCTGTTGCCTTCCCGCAATCTTGTAGAATGACACACTAATTGTCCTTGATGACAAAGCCAATTTTGCTGGAGAGATCCCGGATCCCGTGGCGTAGTGCCTGCACATGTGTACCGCACGGTGGCGGATTCCTCCTCTCCCAACAGCGGACGAAGCATCAGTTGCCCCCACAAGATGCCGAGAGCGGATATCCACAGACGATTCAGTCCGAGGGGCGGTAGAAGGCACGATGCACCAGGGAGGCAGCCACCACCTCGTTTGGACCAAAGTAAACTACACCACGAAACCACAACCCGGTCATAGCACGCTACCGCTCCATGGTTGCCTGAAACCTTGACTTCGACAGCTTGGCATGGAACAAAACAGAACCCATCTTGACCCCTTCACGACAACAGGTCACAAAGCCCAAAAATACGTTAAATATGAAGAGATTTAGTGTAACACACTGATATACGGTAGACGAGCATGTGGCTAAAACTCTCCACCACGGAAAGAACGCCAAATTTTCGTGCGATTGTTCCGTTCGGCATTGAAAACACCGTTACCAAAGCGCTGATCAAAAGTGGTCCAGCAAGTATTCAAAAAGCGTTTTAGCCTACTCCCGTTAACTTAGGCTCCACGCTTGTAAAACACGTGCCATGACGCACCATTAACCATTTCAAACGTGTAAGTGTCGGCATCTAATGTTCTTTTCATGTCCAGGTGAGAATGCTTTCGGGGCCCAATATCACAGCTTTTCACCATCCCTCCGGAGAAAATGCACCTCGCGATCACTTTTGTACGCCTACCAGCGTTCACCGCGCCGTGTCATGTGAAAATGACACGCCATGTGACACGCCATGTCAAAATGAATCCCTCCATTTTACCTAGTGATGTAGCTAAAGCTTTTGGGGCTAAAGAGGCGGCAGAGACACGCTGGGACCGAAACCCTCGGTACTTTTGACGGTGAGAAGCGCTCGTGGAGCTTCTCAATATAAAAACAGTCCCCTGAGGTATCAGAGTAAGACCACTAGCCTAAACCCTCCACCAAATAAAAATACAGGGCCCCTAATAGTCTTACAGCCGCGCAGAGGCCTTACAGAAACAGTAGTCTTGCTTTCTTAAAGCGGTTGGGGGAGAGGTTGAGCCAATAAAGTTGACCTTGTCTACCTCAGTACCCTGCCGTTTCCCTGGATTTCAGCCACTATGATTTGAATACTTCATTTCAAAATTTTAATATCATTTGGCCAGTTCCGAGATTGTTCTGTTTTGAAGACTGAACTCCCATCTGAGGCCAATGTGATAGTGGCAATCTGTAGTGATTTGATTGATAGTTAAGCGTTTATGTACCGCGTGTACCAGCAGTTCAAGCACATGGCGCATCCAGAATTTCATTTTCCCAATTTTCTCTTTCTTGCTCATGCATTAGGGGATAGGCTTAGAAGAGCATCGAGGTCAAATCAGCATAGGGTGGCTCGGTCTGGGGGGGGGGGGGCTTATAGGGGCGCTCAGCCCCCCTCCCTCTGAAAGTGTACAAAGTGACACCTCTGTTCCCAAGCAACAAAGAGGGACCTCTTGGCCTTAAAGGCTTTCTATTACTCACTTGGCGCACTGCTGGGCAAAATCCTGAATGGGTCACTGTCTTAACCAAGCATGGATCTGTTTTGATTGGATTTTGAGAAAATGTCTTGCGCTGCCTAAGTAGTAATGCGTTACTAAACTCAGCGGCGAAGTTTTTTTATATGGTCGGGAACACACCAGGAATGGACGTTGATAATGTTTAAACGACGGCCATATGCGCCACCACAAAATTCCTAAAGGCGGGTCGAGGTGGAGGGGGAGGGGGAGGGGTCGGCTTTACGCCTTCCGAAAATAGAGTATACTGTAAGTGTGCACTTCAGCCATTGGTTACAATTGACTGAAGTGATATTATAACATCCTGGATACCGAGTGCTTGAACTGAAACCGACATGACGCGAGAATGAAAAGTGCAGTTTGGGGATCCTCGTGGGAATCGGGGACAAACTTCGGGATGCCTGTGATAAATGACGGGCCTGGATCCCACTTGAGAGTGCACTTAGAGGTGCAAGCCATAGCGTTTCTTGCGCATTTCGACAAATCTAACTGTTCTATGCCGCAGCTTGTAACATGGCAGCTGATGAGACAGGCGTGTAGCGATACGACGCTGAGTGCAGACTGCGGAAAGGGGCGCCATTTGTCCACTCACTCAAAGCTAACATTAAAACCATGCTGTACGTACCCAGAGTTTTCATATACTCGTCAAAGTTCTCGCTTGATTCCATCTTCCACTTTCCTACCATCTTATCAGTCATGTTTGCACTTTTTTAGATCACGACGCTGGCTATCAGTACTTGTCACGCGCGCCGCCCTCCAGCTCCCGATGCGACGCAAGCAGACGACGGAAGCTGACGACGGATGCCGGCTTTGGTCGAAAGCGCGTCACTTTTGTCTTTCCGGGTTTTAGCTACCAAATTAGACAAGGGTTGGGCGTTTCTGGTCTGTATCTCAAGCTACTGGATTGCGGAGATACGAGTCCTGCGTGGGATGGGGTCCAACCTTCATTGGTGGTTGGTAGTGGTTCGTCGAGAGCAGCAGACAAGAAGGATGACATTTATGGTAAGCCCATCATGAAACTTGACAAATCCGCCCTCTACAGCGTGGTGGCGACAGCGCAATGAGCACTCTCTATGCCCTCTAAGTGAGGGACAGCCTTGTCACATCGCGACATTCACGGGCTCAAACTGATTGCCTGCTCAAATTACAGGTTAGGGCAAAAAGATACAAGCTTTTAATTGGTGGCGTCTAAACTTAACCCGCGCCCGGTGGGGAGGTAAAGTTGATTCCAACACGGGTCAAAAACGAATACTCGCAGCAACACCAAATTTTCAGCGTTTGTTCATCTATCAATTTGGTATCGGTTGTGCGAATTTGAAATTTTGATTTGCCAAGGCCAGGTGAAACAAGTCGACTTCTAAAAAATTGGGCCACGCATGACTTTTGGGTGCGTTATTTTTAATTGTTCAAACTTGCAATGGTAGCATAAAGTGATAATATCTACAGCTTATGCATTTCAGTTTTTTTAAAACAGGTGAGGTAGTCGCCGAAAGTCATGGAAACTTTTAATATTTTCTCGTAAATAATGCAAATTTAAATGTGCTTTTGTGCAACCACAGAGCACGTGGCATCGGCCCAGGCTAAGAACTCTACAAAGCACATGCTGAGCTCAAATTAGTCGGATTTCCAAGATAGTTTTGGGCGCAGAATTAGAATATGCCGGTGAAAACATGCTGTGATGTCATTATAATGTATGACGAGGTCATAATAAATAACGTGAGGACATGCAAGGTCACATGAGGCTATCCAAGGTAGATGATCTCCGTTGTCAGAAGTTGAAAAGCTAGATGAACGAATGCGACGCGTTAACCCTCTCTATGTCGTGTTTGTGAAGCTGGTAGGGTATAATTTCATACACCAACGTGACTGTTCTCAGTTTGTTACAAATACATTGTCAAGCGTAGAGAGGTCTATGCATAATGTATCCCAGAGCTATGCGATCTTGAGTATCTGTACATGTACAACACACTAATTCTGGTGACAATAAGGTATTGTCGTGGTCACTTAGCCCCGTTAGAACTTCATTTTTCCCTTCCGTTTTGAAAATGGAATTAACTATTTTCGTTTTATTGAAGAAACATTTTGACTTAAAAACTATGCTCTGGTTTTACTGACCATTTCATTCATTTCAGAACATCCGTTGAATTGCCTTTTTATGTAGCCTAGGTTTTTTGGCTGCCTGTTTCCAAGATGATTCAAGATTAACATCGCATAGCCGTTTGACGTGCTTCAGCATGTCGGGTGAAAACTAGGCTTTCATATAACGTCGGTGTCTCACGTGACCTTCGCAAAACTACCGCTATTCAACTGTCTGGTTTAGAGTTTTAAGCATTCAGTGAAGTGCCGGAGCTCACGGATGTTTTCCGTCGGCAGCAAATGCATGTGATGGTGCGTGACCCATGATCACACGCATTGCCACGGCTGCGCCATACGATCGTGGGGACGCTTCCGCCTCCCGCCAACTGGCATCTGCCGGTTTAAACAATCGGCCGCCCCTGGGACTGATCCTCGGTACGCACCACATGCTGGAGTTGGTAGTGTGAACCAATCGCACACGACTGCGGGAAATGACACAGACATAAATATATGGGCAAGATATACCACAATGATCGACTTTTAGATCGCAAGCTTCCAACGAGTGAGAACCACACGGTCGACGCCTGAAAAGCCAGTGCAATAAATTCCGTCCTATCAGACAAAAACACAAGGAAAAATATCGATCATTACTGAAATCGGTTGGGTAGGGGACTGAGCAGATGACATTGAACTAACCTAGCCTCCAAACCTGATTTCTCCCCGGACGGCAACAGTGATTTGCGTCCCTGTTGTAAAAAGCTTATTTTAGAAATGTCTCATGGATTTCAAAACTATTTTGCTGTTAAAGAACGACTTCACATTCTACGACAATGTGAGGCTTCTTTTCGTGAAAAGCTTGGCATGTGGTGTAATGTGGAGAAAACCGTCTTAGCAATTCGAGTCCTTGCGTTCAACGGAGATAATTACCATTTATTGTTGATCTCAGATGGTCCGAGGCGCAAAGAACGGTTTGGCGTGGAATGGCGTGACCTGACACGTACGGCCGAGAGCCTATGGAAAATTTTCCGGTTCCCTGCCAGGGCGTGCCTTTATCTAAAGACACAGCTAAAGTTGCACGACCTCTCAACAGACATAGCGATAACTGCTAGGATAGGGTAGGTAAAGGCTGGTGATGGAATGGGTCTAGAGGGTGGCCGTCTTAACAAAGCGCGGTCAGCCATTTGACATGTGCTGGAAGTTGATATGAGAAAGACGGGTCGTGAGTCTTGGTGCTTCGTGGTGATAAGATGGGAGCTCTCCTAACGAAAATAATCGACCCTCATTACGGCAGCAGGTAGAAGTTCCGTGACACTACCAAAAATATTGCTTATTTCGCGCAAGCTCTAGGTTCACAGCAGTACTCATGGTCAGCTTTCCGCAATATTCCATCAACTACATCCCCGATGTTTCCACTCCGGAACACACCGCACAAAATGTGTTGATTGCATTCTTAACATCCTTTTTGTGATACAACCAGGTAGCAGATGTACCGCCAAAGTGTATTTAGATCGTCCCGTCCCGCCACGCATTCTATTCTGTCCCGATAGCTCAGCTGGTTAGGAGGCTCTCCTCCCGATTCACGGACCTGTGGGTGGATGGGGTCGGCTCACTGCAGGGTTCGCTATTTGTCTCGACTGGGATAGCCCGTGGCCGGTGGCAGGGCGCACTAACGGTCAGGTAACGCCAGAGGGCAGAATGGGAGGTGCCTAGTATTACGGCACCTTTAAGGGAGTGTTTTGCATTTACATGGAATTTTGAACTAAAAAAGCCATCATGAAGATCTTCCGGTGTTGTTCACAATTAAGTCCTTCCTAAGAACTAAGCCCCTCTAGTTTCTGAACTCGCGAAAATGGGGAAAGCTACTTCGGGAAGGGTGTTTCAGTCACCTGGGCATTCATGACGTCAAAGTAACGTCACTCAAATCCTGCCATTCCTTAAGCCAAGCGATGGTCAAGGCCAAAAAAATGCACTTGTGGAGACGTTCATATCTGGCGTTCGTGAGCGCGATTCCAAATAAAGCGGCCGTCAATTGGCTGTCAATCAATGTTGTGCAAGATGAGATGACCTACTTCAACCATGACGCACTGAGGAGCTATTTACTAGACGGATAATTGTACTGTCTGGAGCAGTCTTTCCCACTTGAAAGTCTGCCAATAGTTATAAGTGAGCTCGTTTCATCATATCTGGTACTTGCCTCAATATCGTCAAATGTGGAACATTCTCTTCAAGTTTCCATCGCAAAATATCTTCAGCTAACCCGGAATTTTACGACCGGGTAAAAACTCATCAAACAAGCATCGTTTAGAGTGGGTGCTCATCCCAAAAATACTCAAATCAAAAGGTCTGGACTAAATCTAACAACACTCACGACCGCCTAAGCGACACTGCATTACGATGGTGCACACCGCACTGCTAGTAAAAGGGCAGCTCTTGAATACGAAAGTGAAAAGGGTTTGGGGGTATTTGCATGTATCTTCTGATCCCCAGTCGTGTAAGCGTAGGCGCGCCAACGTATCCTTTCTTTTCCGTGAGCACGGACGCAAGGAGAACCGAGTGAGCTCTCCCGATTGCGCCGCAAGTTCTCGGCTTAAAAATACATTAGACTCACAAAGAGGTCGGAGAAAAGTAGAATAAAGATTCTGTGTCTAAGCGGAACTATCGTTTATACAAGGCTACCCAGAAAATAGCCCACGCTTTACTCAAGAGTGGCGACTGTGTTGTTGCACAGTGAGGACTGCAACGGCTTTCGAACAGCCTTTTTTAAGATTTCGTTCGAACCGTTTGAATGGATGGATTTCTGGGACCAGAGTTTACGTCAAGCATTGCTTGTTGTATGAATCCCTACGATCCGGTCGCGCAATTCCAGGGTAACGGCAGAATTTGGTAACAAAAGTTTATTGGGCCAAGTTTTCGGCACGGTCCGTCCTGATTTCTGGCGTCAAATGACCTTGAGCGCGGCCGCTACCACAGGCCGCAGGCCATGCCTGTCAGGGCCAATAACGAGCGCCTGAAGCGACTCGAACCCACCCCGTCCCGAGTGGGTGAATCGGGAGGCAGGCGTTCTAACTAGCTGAGCCACCGGGACGGATTAGCTCAAACAAAAACATGGCATTAAATGGCAACACATCATAAAAGCAATGACAGTCATCAGTGAACTCACCTTCGTCAAATCACGACTCGGCAGGAGATCCCTCTTTGAGGACCAGAACGAGTGTCTTATAAATTTCACCCCAAAACTGTTACATCGCTAACGCTCTGATGCTCTTTTGGACGGCTCTGGGACGACTTCACAGGATCGACCGGTACGAAGAATGGCTCCAGCGGAAGATAGGAGACGGGGTGCTCAAGTCAACATCGGGGTGGGCTCGAGTCAGCATGGGCGAGCGGGAGAGGGGCTCTGGCCCCCAGAAAGTATAAAGAGTAACATGTCTGCTCAGTGCTCACTTTAAATCTTTCCATTCTAATAATATTTAATTGTCCTTAATATCAATGCTAGATGCTTTTGACGTGACAAATGTCAGCGGAAAGGTGTCTTTTGCCTAAGCACTTCCGGTTTCTCTTCTAATTTTCACGCTTCACCTTCAGTTGAATTTATTTCACTTTTCACTCGGTCTTTCTTTTCGTGATTCGCATTCAGAATCAGCAAAATAGTGCAGGCCTTATGCAGCCGTAATCACTGTCATTTCCAAGAAAGTGCCTT